ATATATATATATATATATATATATATATATATATATATATATATATATAGAGTAATATACTTATATATACACATATTTACAAAGCTGTTGAATATTGAACAGTGTATTTTTTGTTAATTTCTTAATTCAAGCTCAATTAAGGTTTGTATCAGCTGTACAGTCTAAGATCTTCAGTGACTCAAAGGTTTTATCAGTAGATCCATCATGGATCTTCAGTAATCCCTGAGATAGTCTGTATCTTTACTGGAGTTCTACAGCTCCCTCTAGCGACAGCGCCCTTACTTGCAACCCTTTAAAGAACCAACTGTGCTGCAATACATGAATACTGGTTTGTAAATCTCTCCTGAAATAGCTGTTATATATACATCTCAGCGTGATTAAATAGAATTAAATATTGAATTGAAAAATTAATCTTTTATTTTTATTCATTTTTTTTTTTATCACAAATGTCAGCCAATGTATGCAGACAGTGAGAAGAGTCTTCTTTGCAGAAAGGACTGCATTATAGTGGCTTGGCGATGATCAGCCTGTTGTTCTGCTGAGGTATAAAGGAATCAAAACTTGCTCTGATAGTGGCCTCCAGCTCGTTTGCATTGTTGACACTCTCTCTTCTCATTTTGCCTCTCACCTGACAAAACCCAGCAAATTATCTTTGTGGTTTAAGTCAGGAGAATTTGCTGACCAAATTACTTAAATGTTTTGCCGTGTAGACGTGTGCCAACTCCATTTGGACAATGAAATTTAGCATCTCAATATTGTTTATCAAGAGATGCAGACATGAAATGCTCTAACTTTTTGATGCAGACTTCAGACTTGATAAAAACACGGCGGACAAACAGGACATTTCATGGCTTTGCAACTGTTTATGGACAGTGTTACTTCACATTGGACCTCAAGCCAGTCCATGTCTGTCTTTTTTCCACACTTTGGGGTTCTTTAAATCCAACTTTAATGCGATGTTTACTATGACCTGAAAAGAAAAGTTTAGAACATCTTAGCCCATGTTAAGGATTTGTGTAAGGGACCAATTGAATAGTTTAATTTCCTAATAAACCAAGTTTTGAGGTGTTTAATAGCTGTAAACCACATCATTAAAAATTTATAGTAATAAAACTTGAAAAGGCTGCACAGTGTAGCAGGGGGAAGCACTGCTTCTTTGCAGCACTAAGGTTTTGGGTTCAATTCCCAGCCTGGGGTTTATCTGCATAGAGTTTGCATGTTATCCCTGAGCACGCATGGGTTCTCTCCAGGTACTTCCTCCCACAGTCCAAAAAATGACTGCTAGCTTAATTGGCTTCTCTAAATTCTCATTAGGTGTCAGTGTGCGTGAATGCTTTTTTGTCCTGTATGTCTTTGTGTTGCCCTGTGATGGACTAGCGGCCAGTCCAGGGTGTACCCTGCCTCTTGCCCCTTGGCAGCTGCAGATAGGCACCAGAACCCCTTGCAACCCCAGTAGGGATAAAGCCTGATGGAAAATGGATGGATGGAAATCCTGGAAACATATACCCACATATATACTAGTTTCACCTCCTGAAATATCCAACCATTTCAATGATATTTTAATTCCCATAAATGTAAATCTTCTATGAGCACTAAATTAAAGAATCAAGGCATGAGACCAAAACACACATTTTTTCTCTCTTTTTATTGATGTGTTATCAATACAATCAAGTACTGTAGATTTTGTATAAGCAGACAAACATTTTCAATCAAAATAAGTGCATTTTATACCCATATTCTATTGCAGAGAGTGCAAGCAATAGTGATGTATAACAAAAATAAAAACAAAAACATACACTACTACGTTGTATGCGACATGTAAGAAAATAAACGTCCAAAAATAATCCTTCACAAACAACTCTAAAATGCTAACTACATGTTATAAATGCTATTAACTTGTCAATGCTATTAAATACCATTTGTATGTTCTAGGCTTCGGTGGTCAGTTTTGGCATTCCTATTAAATTATCAGTAATGCATAAATACATCATTAATTTCATGTGCAAATGGGAACGGCCGTTTGTGTTTAGAGAAAATAAAAACAAACAAATTTCCCTTCAAGAACCGAAGCAAGGCTGCTGTGATTTTTTTTTTTAATTCTTGTTTTTTTTTTCTTCTTTTTTTTTTTCTTGTTGTTGTTTAATAAAGACACAAAGAAAACAGTTCTAAGATATAATTTGCAACCGAAGATCTTACTGACACTTGTTAAATGATTTGCACATGATGCAAACTCAGCAAGCAAGTGACATTGTCAATGAAAAATTAAGGACAGAGAGCAATAAGCACAGGTGACTCTCATCAGCGCTTCTTTTGTTCAAGAATAAAAGACGAGCAAAGAACAAAACACACAACGAACATACAGCACAAAACAAGTCTAACAATGCGCTACAAACCTTATAACATTGATACATAAGCAGATTTTGGGGTGATCATGATATATGAAGGCAACTGTAAGTGCATTACGTTGGACAGAATACTGATTAGGCATGATCCTACACTGCTTTTCCAAAAGAACTTGAAGAGTTACCCTTTAGTGATAGATCGTGGATGCATTTTAGAAAAGAAAAATCAGCATACATTATTTCTAACTACAGAGCTAAATGTTAGGCAAAAGGATCATTGTAACAAGTGTTTGGGCACTGTAAGCAGATTCTGGTTTAAAGCAAATAAAGGAGAAAAGTCTGAGTTTTCTGTTTAATTTACATCCACAAAATCCAATGTATTTAGGTTGGGATGTGATGTGTTGGATCACTACAAAACTCCTGCAAAACTGGGATCTGAAACCATGAAAATTGCGGTAATTATTTGTATTGAGCCCCTTTACGTTAACAATGCTGTAAAATACAGTGCAACTAAATGATTGAAAAACATTACTATACTGTATTGGAAAGAGTTGTCTGCATTTAATTTAACCTCATTGACAATACAGCTCTTCAGACAAGGTTGAACAACATAAGGGAAAAGTGAGCAACACAGAAGAAAGGTCAGGGATACAGCTGAGTAATGATATGAACCATGAGCTTTGAATTTCTTACAGATCATTGTTGAATCCACCACCTAAAAGTGGGAACAGCATGGCACAGCTGCAAACCTACCAAGACATGACTGTCCGACTAAACTGGTAGGCCGGGTGTGAAGAGGATAAGTCAAAGAAACAGCCAAGGTGTTTGTCATCCTGGAGGAAATGCAGATACATACAACTCAGGGGGTTCTACAAGGTGGTGTTAAAACAAATTTTCTATACTTTTCAGACTATTCTCTTTTCAGTTTACAATACTGCAGAACTTCTAGCGGCCATTCACATTACATACATTGAAGTCTGTGGTTCAAACAATACAAAACAAACAATAATTGAGCTTTATTGATCTCACATTGGAGAAATTTACCTCTTTATTTAACCCATCCCCTTGGGGAGCAGTGGGCTGCCATTGTGGGACGCCTGGGGAGCAGTGTGGGGTTAAGGGTCTTTGCTCAGCGACCCAGAGTGGCAGTCTGTGGGAGTGGGGGTCAAACTCAGAACCTCAGGATTCCAAGCTCTATGCCCTAACCACTAGCCTGCCACTTGAAATTATTTAAATTATTACAAAAGTATATACTTCTGCGGGACATTGCATATACGAAAAAAAAAAAAATGTGTCCAGGTCATGCATTGTGTGTTTTTGCTTGGTAACACCAGCTGAAATAAGCACCTTTCAAAATGTTTTCTATTCTTGTTTGATTTGGTTAAACTGAGAATCAGAGGAGGCCATTATTCCATTTATTATTTCAAAGCGTGAAACAGCCCATTCAGTGTTAATCAGAGAGAAAAAAAAATTCTCAATATTATTATCAGTATCTTGTTTCAGTTTTTGGCTGTTTTCCATGTCATTTGAATTATGTATTTCAGTAGCTACATCTCTTTTCTCCTCCTTTTTAGCACAGACTGGTGATGTAAAAACTCCTCAGGAATTCCTGCCAAAACCCAGAGGGAACGGAAGCATTCAGAGTTTTAGATTCTCAAGCGTTCTTGAGAAACATTAACAGAATGTTGATGATGATTCTGAAAACTTTGTAACCTCGTTCAAGTTTATTATTATCTTTGTTGAAATATTCATGACCTGACTTTTTAAAGGGGGATGACATGACACAGCCAAAAAAAAACAATCACCCACACATAGACACATGTATTGACAAAAAGAGCGTATCTTTAATGCTTCATCCAGCAGTAGTGAGTAAACACAGAGCTCTTACCTCTGACCTGCTACCTCTTCTAGAACTAAACCAGAGGTTTGCTGGATGTTATACGACCTGTATTTCACAACCAGTGAACTTCTGTGTGTCCCTTTGCTTATTCACTTAAAAAGGCGAATCAGTTATAATTTGGAATGATTAGATCCTTCAGGATTATTGGCACTCCTGGTAAAAATGCATAAAAAAATAATGTTTTTTTCCTAAAGAATAAAACGTTTTAAATTTAATTTAACTATATTTATTCAAAGGGTTAAAAAGAGATACCAATCCATTCCTGTTAAATAACTGTAACAGAGAAACAGGGTGCAATCTCCGAAAATTTGAACCTTAAGAAAACAAGCTGTTGCAGTAAGGTTGGTGAGCTGAAAGGTATTAATTGGGAGATAAAATAAGCATATTTCCAGTGAAATTAATGAAATTTACAATCAGAGCAAAATGGAATGTATTAGCCACACTTTTTGGGGCGTAATAGAAAATAGGGTCACAATAAGACTTTCACTCAAATTCAGACTTATATGCACCAAAATATGCTGTTGATTAGTCTATTAATCTGGGCAAAATGAGGCAAAGTTTTTGATTTACATTAACCCTACATAATCGCATACACTACCCCCCCCAAAAAAATGCTTTAAAAATAAAATAAAAACAATTTTTCTTTCTTTTACCAAATAATACTTATAATTGTACACAGCTGCTCCAAGTAAACTATTAGACGCCACCTACATGCAAAACTGTTGTTTGGGAGATATGCCTGGTAAAACCTCTAAAGTTTAAGGCAGATGATACCTCCACTAGGTGCTTGGCTTTAGACAAAATATGAATATGTGGCAAAAACATGTAACTCCCACTGTTAGGTAAAACCATCTGAAACCTCCCACCCTGTAAAAAGAAGCTTTCCTATCTACTAATGGGCAATTTCAAAAGTATAAAGAATCTTTACCAAATAAACTTGATTAACTTAAATAATAGATGTTCTAAAAAAAACACATAAGAAGTGAATGTATCCAAGACTTTTGATATATCTTTACCAGAAGTGCCAAATACTGTGTTAGATGTATATTGGGATATAACTCTGCTTTCAAAGAAAGAAGCTAGGCTCAAAAACGGAATGTCTGTGTCTAAAAAATATTTGGGAAAAAAGGTAGGAACTTTTATTTCATTGTTATTAATGAGGTTCTCTATTTCTAAAATACAATCAAGCTTTAGGCAGTTTCACAGATTTTTCTCTTATAATTAGAATGGTATTTTTCCAACTAGGAAGAGATATAGAATTATTTGTTCACAGAATACCATATTGAAGCAGATTTATGAAATATGGAGCATTTGAAAAGCAAGCCTCTGGTGCAATATGCCACCCAGTGCAAAAGGAAAAATATACATCACTCAATAAGACTGCTATACCAAGTTAATTTGCCAGAACGCAGTCTTTACTGCCCATTTGAGGATAATTTTGGCATCCACTCTACTGCATGTTAAAATATACTCTATCTATCAACTCCTAATTTGTCTTGAACAATAAGAAAAAAACATAGACACAAAAGATGCACCTAGTAGGCTCGTATACCATCAAGTAATAAATTATAAATCTCTCTCTAGAAGTTGGGTTGCAAATTAAAACGGACCAAATCAAAGGTATCACAGGACCAGATGCCCTGATTTCTTTTTACATAACTAGCTGTCAACAGTTCTGTTGTTGAAGTGTTACTCTAAGTGCAGGTTTTCCAATTCTTTATTTTAATTACACACACAGAAGTGACCGGTGTCTGAAACGTATCCCCCTCCTTCCCCGAGTTTTGGTGACCTTATTGTCTGACAGTATGTGCAGTCACACGGGAAGGTCTGTTACTCGCATGTTACCATGTAAGGCACTTACAAGTCTGAATCCAACAAACAAAAGCGACATTGATGAGGAGGTTCAAATAATGATAACGAAATATGACAATATAATAATTAAAATAATATAGCCTAAAAAACATCACAAAATACAACCCAAGACGAACATTTGATGAACATTGAAATATAAGAACACAATATGACAATGCTTCCCCTGCCTTTCAAATCTTTAAACATAATTCACAATTTTTTTTTTTCAAACTGAGACTGCTGAGGGTAAGAGAGATAAGGTCATGGTAGTATTCTCAAAATGTTATGGGGGGTGTTTCAACTATGGCTGCAGGTATCTCGGGTATAGGGCTGATCTGAGGCACAATTTCAGGAACATTTTATAAGGGAAAGGTTATGTGGGACAAAGCAAGAATCCTGAAAATGAAGAGTGAATGTACTCGGTAGAGTAAAGGCCATTTGCTTGATCCGAAGGCATTTGAACCCAGACCTCATCACCTTCCTTCAGCTCTAGTACTGCGCTGCCAGATGCTTGGTCCATGTAGCCTTTCTTGTATTCATCATAGGTGTAAGTGGCTGGTACATTGTTCTTGTACAAAGCCACCCAGAGGCTAGTTCCCTTTACGTGCATGTGGTACGCAAAGTAGTAGACGCCAGATAAAGGAGCCGTGAAGATGCCAGTTGCAGGGCTGTAGGCATTTTGACCATTATACAGCGTCCTATCAAATTTGATTGGCATACCAGAAGGTGGGAATGGCGTGGTAAGAACGGCTGTGAAAGCTGGTGCTAGTGAGGCAGACAGAACTTGAGTGTATGCAGGACCTTTTCTGTCCCCTGGCACTTCCTCCCCACCCAGTCCTGCATCAGTGGTCCCCGAAGCAAGAGTGTGGCCATTTCCAGGAGGGCCAGGAGGCCCAGGAGGACCAGGCGGACCAGGGTTACCATTAAGCCCAGCAGGCCCTGGATTTCCTGGTGGGCCTTGTGGACCTATTGCTCCCTTTTCCCCCAGTTTGCCTATCCCTGGAGGCCCTGGTAGTCCCGCATCACCCCTTGGTCCAGGGACACCCTGTGGCCCCATAGGACCCATAGGCCCTTGGAGACCAGGAATTCCTGACTGGCCCCTGGGGCCTGGAATCCCCATAAAGCCGGACTCCCCTTTGGGCCCTGGAGAACCTGTCAACCCTGGATTCCCAGGTGGACCATTTTGCCCTCGCTCACCTTTAGGGCCTGGTTTACCAATAGAACCATGAGGACCAGGGATACCCTTTTCTCCTGGGACACCAGGTCTCCCAGGTAAACCACTGGAACCTTGGTCCCCTTTGAGTCCAGGCAGACCTGGGGGTCCCTTGGGTCCTAATTCTCCCTTCGGCCCTGGAATTCCATGTTTTCCTGGAAGCCCCATTGGACCCTGAATGCCTGGTGGCCCTGGTTGTCCGTCAAGACCTGGCACCCCAATTGGACCAACCATTCCTTGTTCCCCTTTGTCCCCTTGGAGACCTGGATATCCACTGTGACCCTTCTCCCCCTTTGGACCATTTAGACCAGGTTTTCCGTAACCAGGTAGGCCAGGATTTCCAGGACTTCCCCGAGTTCCTTGTTCACCTTTAGGGCCCACTGGACCTGGTGTTCCTGGGAGCCCATCAAGACCAGGCTTCCCCAACCCAGCTGGGCCTGGAAGACCTTGAAGGCCTGGTGGCCCAGGCAGCCCTGGTTCTCCTTTATTCCCTGGAAGTCCTTCGTCACCTTTAAGTCCAGGTGGTCCCGGTGAACCTTTTAGCCCTGGTTTGCCAATACCAGGAAATCCAGGTGGTCCTGTACTGCCTTTTAGACCTGGAGGGCCCCTGATACCTGGAGTTCCTGGGTTACCATTGCCATTTTCCCCCCTAAGTCCACGTTCACCTGGTGGTCCAGCAGTGCCTTTTAATCCTGGCTCACCACGAGCTCCAGGGGGTCCTCTGATACCTGGGAGCCCAGGCTTTCCATTCAGAGATAAACCAGCTGGGCCGGGGACACCAGGGGGCCCAGGAAGTCCACGGGGACCTGGTTCACCACGAGGTCCAACTTCACCATTAAGTCCTGGCATTCCATTTGGCCCAATCTTTCCTGGTAGACCTGGAAGTCCAGGTTTACCAATTCCAGTAAATCCTGGAGGCCCCTGAGGACCTGGTTGTCCATTGAGACCTGGTTTCCCCAGTCCAGGTTTTCCTGGTAGTCCTGGTGGCCCAGGAGGACCCCTTGGTCCAGGTTTCCCTTGAGGACCAGGTTCTCCCTTCATCATAGGTGGCATATCTAGAAAGTATAATCAAAAGATTAGAATTATTTTTATTGCTAAAAATTAAAACCATTTAAATAGTTAAAATGAGGAATCCTGTTTGCATCTATCTGTGGCAAAAAAATCTTATAACTTTGTTCTTATAATTGCTTCTAAAGCTATTACAGATTTCACAGTCTTTACATGTTATCAGCAAATGGCTCTTTTAAACTAAACTTACTACTGAAATTTGTACTGTTGTAATTATGCATATACAGACGCTTAGAAAAATAAAGATTCTTTAACATAATTATTAATAAATAAACTAATCAGAAATAAATATAAAATAATAATTAGGGGTATGGCTAACAATGACAAACAATTAAAAGGGATAGTTTGAATTATTAATGAAACAAGTAAACCTGGCAATACTGAGAAAAACTAATGGAATTGGCATGCAAATTCAGAAAGCGTATTGTTTGAGTGGAATTAAAATGAGTTAAACAGTGGGCATCCATGGGACATATTTTTCTTATTTTAGCTGGTGAGCCTGTTAACATTTTTATTGCATAGAAACAATATTTTCAATTTTTTCCAAATAACCTTAACAAAAATTTAATATTCAATTTCAATTCAATTCAATTCAATTCAGTTTATTTATATAGCGCCAAATTCACAACACATGTCATCTCAAGGCACTTTACAGTTCAACCAGATCATACAGTCAAATCGATCAATCAAATCAATTCAGGCTTGATAAA